TTTGATTTGCAAGGTCATTTTCCTTGTGTCTTAGATATTGCTTCTTCTAGCTTTTGAGTGTTTATGTGATTTAGTGCTTGATAGAATGTGTAATTATAATATTATGAAGTTCCTACTCTTGAATGTTTATTTGTTTGCCTACTGTAGCTATGATTGGTCCCAACTATTTACCCGACCTGGACAGCTGGAAAGTGATGTGCGTGTCCACTTCATTTTCATTTAGTTAATTGATATCTGCTTTAGGAGTAATATTATTGACACTAGACAACTAAATCTTACATAATCTACGACAAAATCTACCCAAATTATAACAGTAATCGTGCAACGCATGATCCTCCACTAGTGTGATTAAAAAGTAAGAAAAAATTATTGATGTGATGAAAAATATTTTTTTATTGAAAAATGTGTTGTTAAAAATAAGTTTTGAAAGAATGTGTGTCAAACATGGCATAAATCTTATACTCATATAACCAGTCACCATCGTGTTAAACTTCGTTAAAAATACTGTAAAGGAGCGGACTTATTGAATTAATATAGAATAATGTTATTTAGTCTCATTGATGTTACAATCACAGTCTATGTGATTCTAGGTAAAAGGCGAAATGAAATGTGAATACTTATTATTTAATGCAACATTAACACGATTATAATTCCAATGAAATTAAATAACGTTACTAATATAACATATAGTAGATGACCTTAGTGTACATTAAAAACTGGTCCCAACAATCAATGAACGTGGCAATGGTTAGAATATAAAAAGATTTATATTTTGCAGAATGCCTCGTACTGAGTTGGTCATATCCTCCATCCTTTCATTTGCCTCTCTAAGTCCATCAATTATTTGTTTATTGTCCAATTCAACAGGATTAGGTCCATGAAACTGCAGGCCAGAATAAGAAATGTGTTCTTCACTGGTTATTTGATCTTGATCGTATGAGCACGAGTTATATTTGATAGTGACAAACCGTTTTGAGGATCCAAAGAAATAGATCCAACTGGATATTGCTCGAGAAGTGTTGAATTGTCCTCTTCTGAAAAGAATTTTGGTTTACCCAACACTCTATTTTCTTGAATAATCTCTCAAACAAGTTCTCGCACCGTGTAAAAAGAGCCACCAATTTCTTTGTGTGCAAGCTTGAGTGATGGAAAATTCCCATTATTTGATTTCCGATACTTGAAAGCAATGCAATGCCAATATTAACTTGCATACTCGAATCAGAAATAACGGAGTTTCAACAGAAAATAAAGTAATACAACGATCAAACAAATAACTGCAAAAAGATAGGAACTAAAAATCTTAGAAGTGCATGGAATTTTAAAGACATACAATAACCATATACACCTATTTTCAGGGTTTCAATAAAACACAAACTCTAAAAAGAATATAAAAGGATTTAACAAAATTTAACAAAAATAAAAATTAGTAGATGAATTTAGAGTTATATTTTTTATTTAATTTTATATATGTCCATTTAAGTAAATTTAAATAAGGTTAAAAATATAATATAATTATATTGTTAGAAGTGAATATAACTCATGTTTGGTCACCATTATTTCACATTAATGAGAGAAATAGTAATTTTTTGGAGAGTGCGTGGTTAAAAAAAGGAAATAAATTATTTAGGTTTATGTATAATATTATTTTATAGAAAAATGTGTAGTTGATAAGGAAAAATAAAAATGAATTATAATTTAATGGTGAATAATTAGAATTGTGGAGGTAAAATTGCGGCTCCCAAAAAAGGGGAAATTACATTATTCAGATGTTTGAAAATTTAAATTCAAAAATCAGGGACCAAGTTTCATTATTCAAAAATCAAGTAATATATTAAAACTCTAACCCTAATTTATCACTCTCAACTCCCACACCTCTCTCTCTCGCGCCTCCTCTCCTTCCCATTCCCCTTCCCCTTCCCTCTCTCTATGAATCTTCCTTCTACCCACCGTCGACCATCGCTCACCGTCGAAGACCACCGCCCACATCAACAATCCACCGCCGAACTCACGGCGACGATCGAGGTAGAAGCGCATCAACTTGATCTGAAATTTTCTCCTTCAAGACCACCGTTTTGAGCACCTATTGGGGTGGTGGATCTTTGCTATTGTGACGCTACCGTACGACGCTTTCACAGTAGCGACACGACGAGTGTTATGGGTGTGTGTGCTGTGGCGGAGTGGAGTTGTGGTGGTGGTGGCGTCGTGACATGTGGGAGCGTGGTGGCGATGACGAGTTTGGGGTTTTTTGTTGGGTGGTGGTTGTGGTGTGAGGTAGTTTTTTTTTGCTGGGTGATGTTATGGGTGCAGTGGTGGCAACGGCGTGGTGTAGATGTGGTGTGTGGTGGGTTCGAATCTGATTGGTGGTGGTGTGATAGTGCGTGGTTGGATGCAGTGGTGGTGATTGCGGCGACGGGGCGATGGTAGTCAAAGTGACTGCAGTGGTAGTGTCTATGTGACCAAGTATTTGGTTATCTGTTACCAAAAAATTTGACAATATGTGATTGAAAAATAATCCGTGACCAACAAATTTGAAAATATATGATCAATGAAATTAACTATGACCTATAATTTTTTGAATTTTTTATTTTGAATACTTGCTTTAGATATTGATATAGTTANTTTTAAAATTTTGAATTTTTATTTTAACTGAAAATTTAAAAAAAAAACTAACAAATGGGGTAAGAAACGGAGGCAAGCCAGTGCCCTGCTCTTAGACGGGGCAGGGCAAGGGAGTAGCAGGACAGGACGGGACGGGACGAGACGGAACGGCCCAGTCCCGCCCCGAACCAGCCCAGTTGCCATCACTAGCTATTGGCGTTCACCAACAAATAAGAAGATCAAGAAGAAAGGTGTAAGGGTAGGGGTTGGTGGCAGATTTCTTGTTTTTTCATTTGTTTTTAGTTTAAAAATTTTAATTGTTCATTCTAAGTTTCTAACCCTAAATATATATTTATCACTCTTCTGAAATTGGTCAAAATTTTATTTTTTGATCAACCGATCATTGTGCTGCAACTAAAGTCCTGTTTGGTCTACATTATTTTTTTCATTGTCATTCTTCTACTTATTTTCAACCACACATTCTTCAATAAAATAATATTGTTCACCACATCAATAACTTTTCTTTATTTTTCAACCACATATTTTTCATCACATCAAAAGTAAAATGTATTCTTACGTTCAAAATGTGCACCAAACGGGGGCTAAATTAAAGATTTGGTACTGTAAATAATATAAATGAATTTATTTGAGTAGAATATGTAAAAAAATGAAAGTTTGAGACCGTAGCTGCAATTATCCCGAATTTTACTGGAACTAACGAGATATTCTACTATAGATCTGCTCGGTCACTCTCTCTCTCTTTTTTCGTTCCGTTTCTTTCAGTTTTCCTTCATTTAATTACACAAATTGAAGTAAGTACATATGGATATTGTAGCGGGTACAGATGAGTTTCAAGACTGGGAGCTTCTCCACCCGAACTCGGACCTTCACAACTCTCCCGACTCATTTAGCTCCGTCGAAGAAATCGGCTTGATTCAGCCCAACTATTTCTCCTTGGACATTCGGAACCAATATGTGGATGATTCGGATGATAAAAGGTCGGGTGAGTCGAACAATCCGAGTCGGATCGATCCCGGTTCGGTTGAAAACTCTAGTCGGTCCCTGAATAAAGATCCCGGCGAGTTCTGGTCGGATTCGAGCAGCGACCGGTCTGATGAGCGTAAAAATTCTGATTTTGAGGCCAAAAATGAAATGGATCTCTTTCAAACTAAGAAAAAGCAGGTGGATTTTGAGGGAAGTCATGAAATTGATGAGATAGAAGAGAAATATTCGAAGAATTTGGAGAATTTTTATTCGGATTTTGATGGAGTAGTTGTGGATTCAATGAAACGTAATGATACTGGGGAGAATTCCGAAGTGGGTCCCGAAGAAAACCCGGATTCTCAAGGTGGGACGGAACTTTTACGTGAAGAGGAGCACAATAATAGTAAAGAAACTATCGGAAACGGTAGTGAGAGTATCAATGAAAATGGAGCTCCTGTAAATGACGAGATTGAGAAAAGGAGGGTGGTGTGGTGGAAGATGCCAATAGAGATTTTGAAATACTGTCTCTCTAGAGTAAGTCCAGTTCGGGCTGTTTCTGTGGCAGCTGCAGTGATGGGGATCGTGATTTTGGGCCGCAGTTTGTATAAGATGATGAAGAAGAGTAGGGGATTGGAGATTAAGGTTACTATTGATGATAAGGTCAGTGCTATTTTTGTGGTTTTCTTTAGTTTCATCTTGCTGTTCAGATGGTATTTTGGTTGGATTCCAAATATTACTATGTGTACAACGATTCCAAATTTTTGTGTGTATATAGTAGATGACATTAGTATACATTACCTGCAGAATTGTATATTTAATCATCCTTTAAAGGTCAAGGGTTTATTACTTGTTGGAGAACGTATAAGCCCTTGTGTGAGCCCCATTTTTGGATCAAAATACATTTTGGAATAGTGTTTTGTTGGAGAACATGTGGTTAAAAAAGAAGAAATTTTTTTGGGTTTACGTGTAAAATTTTATGGAAGAATACGTGGTTGAAAATGAGTTTTTTCAAAAAAAAAAAATGGGGGCCAAATATAGGCCAAGTCCGGCTAGTTAGGCTCACATGTTTTATATGCATATCATCTCGTGGTTTTCAAGAATTGATTGTCTAGAAAGGAAGTTGATTTGCAAATTGTGAGGATAAAAAATATAATTTATGCTGCAAACATGACATATGTAATTGGTAGATACTGTAAGTTGACCTCTTATAACAATCTTAAATCATTATTGGGGTCTTCTACAAGACAAAGGATAGTGAGGAACAATACCTACTGGAACCTTAGTCCAAGACAGAATGGAAGGTGCACACCAGTTGCTGAGGTGCATGCATTATTGTAGGCATCGTGGCTTATGCTTACGACGACCTCTGCCTCGTGCAAGAGCCTGGTATCCATCACATTTTGGATATTTTCTTACGATACCCTTAGATACGTACCGAATACTTTTTTTTTAAATTTCCAATGCGTATTTTTTAATTATTTTATATTTTTGGAAGATTTTCTATACGTATCAGATATTTTATGGTTTTCATGCACCTTCACTACAAAACATTGCTTTGAAACTTCTTGTGCAACCTTTTTCTTCATCTAGTGCTGAAAGAAATTGGAGTAAGTACTCTTTTGTGCACTCTACAAAAAGGAAAAAAATAACTCTACAACGAATTGAAGAATTGATTTTCATTCATAGCAATTTACGTATTTTATTAAGAAAATTAGACCCTCTTCAAAAGGAAATAAAAAATGTGAGACGTTGTGGGATGCTCATTTGATACTCTTGAAGGTGTTGGACTGCTTGATGTTACTAATCTATCATTGGATGAGCCAGAGTTGGAGAGTGTTATTTTTAATAATAATGAAGAAAATGAAGTTTCGAAAATTAATTGTTGAGATAAAGCGCTTTAGTTTTTTATTTTTATTATCATGCTTCTATATTAATAAAATTATGTTGAATTTTATAACATGTATCGGCATATCCATATCGTATCGTCTCTGTATCCGTGCTTCTTAGTTGTAGTAGCTGGAGGGTTTTGTACTGATCAATTCCAGTTTTGGAATGGAGTGATTTGGAAACTGAAGTACTGGTGCTTTTCGGTAATTTTCCCTTTTTTGCATCTCCTTAGTGACATAATTAATCTTATAAATCTATGTGCTCTCTCTACTTGCTTTCTTCATGTTTGTCTGCTCTTTTTTTTTTATACTGCAATCTTATTCTTCCATCAGAATTTTTAATTATTTGATTTGTAAATGTTATTTATTGCTTTAAGCAATAATGAATTGTATTTAATTATAGATCTCAGTTGGAGAGAGTTACATTTGATTTATTTTTAACTTGGAGGATTACTTTAGTTTTTATTACATTACAAAGTAATTTTCCTCTGAAACCATCAATGGAAATTTTCTTTAGACAAATATAGTTGGCAATCTGACATCTTTTAATTCAAACTTGAATTGGATTCTGGTTGACTAGATGCTTTTGTGAAATCGGTTGCTTGTTTGGAAAACTAACATTTCTGAACTGTTGTGTGCTCTATCTATTGTAACACGGGTGCTCAAATAACAACTTGATTGATATCCTTTTGAAAATCTGGATATACTAGCACCAAGGCCAAATGAGTTGGTGTGTATGACGAATGTTGTGAATTCACAAGATGTTGCTCGAATGCAGTTTTGATGTCTTTATGAATTTCTCTGTAATGACAGGAGAATTTTTCTCTCACCTATGTAGGTATGCTCTTATTATTGTTCAGGAATATGTAGTCATGGTCCATCGAATCACGATGTTTTTATCTTGCAGAAGGTGTCTCAGTTCATGAGCCGTGCTGCTCGTCTAAATGAAGCATTCTCGGTTGTAAAGCGGGTTCCTGTGATTCGGCCTACCCTGCCTGCTGTAGGGGTCACACCCTGGCCTGCAATGAGCTTAAGATAAAGCCTAATATACTTGTAATATATATAGGAAGCAGGAAGCAGCATGCTATTATAAGCCTAAGGTGTGTGGTTTTCAAATTTTCATTTTTATATAATCTGTGTGTATCAGCTTCTTTGTTGCGTGAAACTTCAACTCTTGTTTTAGGGTCTCTTTGATGTAATTTTCTGCGAGTAGATTGTGAAAAGTGATTTTTATAAAGAATTGTGGTTAAAATGTAGGAAAGTTGTGTTCACGTACAAAATTATTTTATTGAGAATTGAGAGAGTATATAATAGAAAATGAGTTCAAAGAATTTTGCCAAATATCTGCTCAATATGTAGAACTTTTTTTTTTGCTGTAATATGCTTTTGACCCTATTGGAGCCCTTTTTTTTAATGAAAATGCATTTTATAATAGTATTTTGATGGAAAATCTGTGGTTAAAAAATAAGGAAAAATTTTGGGTTTGCATATAATAATATTTTATTGAAAAGTGTATAGTCGAAAATAAAAGATGGAAAAATGTATTTTGAAAATAATGACACCGGACAAGAGCATAGTAATATTTCTCCTGATTTTTTGGTAGGCACTACAAAGCTTCATGTAGCTTCGGTGCTCAGGGTTTGGGTGGTTACTAGGGATGTTAATAAATGAGACTAGCTGAGTGCTAGTCGACTCGCTCAACAAAAGTGTGGCTCAACCCATTTGCTCGACTCTTGGTGGGCTAGCCAAGCCAACTCACAGCTTGCCTTGCCTTTTTTATCATTAAAATAGCATATTTCTATTAATTTGACTCGCTCGTTCAAATTACTATTCAATCTGTGTCCATGACTCGTCTCGCTTAACACTTAGGTGACCACAAAACTTTGTACTCAAAAGTGAACTTGTAGGAATAGAAATTTAGATGCAAAAATTTTGCTTGGTGAACGTTTGGTATAACTAAAGTTATAATTTAATCTAATTAAATATAATATTTATTTGTGTGTATGGTAGGATCCATGGCCATTATTTACAAAATCATATTTTGAAGTGTTATTAACTATTTAAATTATAAATAAATAGAAATGAGTTGAATTGTTCAAAATGTGGGGATAAAAAATGATTTTAGAGTTTATAAATAATTTATAAACATGATCGAAACAAACGATTTCATTTCGTAGGATTCATAATTTATATCATTTTTACGCTTTTGGCCAAACTCCGGCTTGTCACATTCTCTATAATTATACACGTAACTAACTCAAAAGGAAATCAAATCTGAGCTCATTTACAAGACATAAAAAGTTACTTCGGAACACGATCAGACATTTTATTCTTACAATTGGCAAATAGATCATCCAACAACCTCTCCGGTTCTAACTCTTAAACCTTGCACGGTGGCAATGGCGAACCACACAAGCAATCATTGCCAAGAAATGAACTTGCTGGAAATTTCGTGGCAGGTAACTTCCCACACAAATGGTTGTAGCTAACATTCAAATTTCCAAGCCCTGCAATCGCTTTTGGCACATTTCCGATCACCAAATTCCGAGATAAATCCAAGTATTTCAATGTCTTGGGAAATTTCACGCTGCTCAAATTAAATTTCAACTTGTTACCAGAAGCATAGAATCCCACTAAATACTCTGTTCTGTTCAACAATTTCAGTGGACTGCCTGTAATTTCATTCTCGGAGAGATCAATGTAATCGTAGAAATAAGTCTCCGATGGATTCCAATCGTCCAATTTTATCTTGATTCCACATTTGGCTAGCTTCAAAGAGTAGATAATCGGGGACGAAGTGACCCAATCTGGAATTTTTCCCAAATGGAATCGATTATTCGACAAGTCCAGCGATTCAATGCCTTTTACGTACATTTTCGGAAATGGATCGATTAGTAAATTATGAGACAGATCCAGATTGAAAATCTTAGTAAGATTGGCGAAACTTGTTGGTACGGTTCCTGAAAGTTTGTTCCAGGATAAATCCAATGTGTCGAGGGCATGGAATTTGCCGAGAAAATCAGGGATTGGCCCCGTCAGGAGATTATGCCCTAGTTCCAGATAACCCAGTTTTGTTGCTAATGCTGAAATACTCCCTGGAATTTTTCCTGTGAACTTATTTCGAGAAAGTTCTAAAATTCTGAGATCGGAAAAGCCCGAAAAGAAATCCGGTATCTCGCCGGAGAGTTGGTTGCTCTTCAAACTCAGTAGGGTTAGGTTTCCCAGCCGCTGAATGCCGGCGGGGATGGTGCCGGTGAGGCGGTTGCCACCGAGTTTGAGCTGAGTTAACTGAGTCAACTCGCCGATTGAACTCGGTATTGGGCCGGAAAACAAGTTCCCTTCTACACTTAGTGCATCTAATTTGGTGAGCTTGCCAACATTTACAGGTATCTGACCAGACAACTTGTTGTTTTCGATGTAGATAAACTTAAAGTTGGGCAAGCTGAAGACAAATTCCGGAAAAGAACCCGATATACTTCCAAGATTTAATAGATAAATGCCATCCAAATATTTGAGTTTGGACAAAGAGGGTGAGATTGTACCCGATAAAGTAGTGTTACTACGGTTGGTACCATTGTTGATTTGGCCCGTAAGATATATAGCTGTGACTCGATTATCGACTAGGCACGTTATACCGTTCCACTTGCAACAATCCGTTCCCTTCTTCCATGTGGCCAGCATATTGGAGGGGTCGGCCGTGATGCCCGATTTGAATGCTAGTAACCCAGCTTCGTCGTCCGGGTGACATGTTGCTGCTGAAGCAGTGAGGCATTGTAGAAAGAGGATAGTGACGAATAATGGGATGAGAAGAGAGGATTGGGAAATCATATCGTCGGTTTAAAGAGAATAAGATAAAATAGTGAGTTGATGCATTTTATAGAGTCCAGCATTGGAAAGTGGGTTGGTCAAACCTTCCAGTTTTGATCAAAATTTTACAGATAGATAGGATAGCCGAGAGGGTTGACCGTGATTGAGTCGACTAAAACCATGTGCGCTCATTTGTTCAGTAAACAATGGAGGCTCTTTCAGTATGAATTACTTTTTGACTAACCCCCCCCCCCCCCCCCCC